CTCATGCGACGTTTCGGTCTTCCCGCATATGACCACGTCACCGAACCAGCAACCACACCGACGACCAGGCCACTCGACCATGACCTCCCCATCCCAGCAGAACACCAACGACGAGACCGACTCCCACGATGCCGTCCTGGACCGCGCATATCTGAACGGCAGCCCTGCCATCGAAGAGATTGAGAACAAGCACATCACCAGCGTCGAAGACCACATCAACTCGGCAGATGTTAGTGTCAGCGGAGGCTCCGACACGGAGGCGTCCCGCGGCGACTCGGCCTCTGCGACCAAGAGCACCGATGGCGACAAGGGCCACCTGCGCAGCTCGTCTACCGTCAAGAAACCCGCCACCTTCAAGGCCGTCTCTGTGAACAAGAAGTTTCTCGCCGCCTCCAAGAGCGCGCCTTCCAACCCCGCCGCGAAACCCAGCGACAAGACAAACGCGGCCTCGGGCCTCAGCGCTGCGCCCTCCTCATCCTCTACCCTGTCGGCATCCCGTCCGCGACTCGTCGCCAAGTCGGGCGCTGCAGGTTCTGTCAACAAGTTTTCTTCCTCCTCCAACGGTGGACAGGCAGCATCCGGCCCTGATGCCAGCGCCGTCTGGAACAAGAATCGACGTGAGTCACAGCTCATCGGCAGCAACAGAGAACGTCTGTATCTTTTTTTTTGAGCACACATGAACTGATCGTCCTGTAGCTGTCCCTCCGCCCGAGCCTAGGAAGTTCACCGATGAAGAGTTGGTCAAGTATGGAGTCCACATCGCGAACCGTCTAGGGCCCGATACGCCGCAGGGACAGACAACTGGGCCGATATCGACGATGACGACGACGATTGGCTCCAGATACCATCACCTGGACCGACGGCACCAAGGTCACTTTACCGGCGCAGCCCGAGGAACAGGCAGTGCAGGCCCCAGAGCCTGTTCCGGTTCCAGCCGTCGTCAAGGACAAAGCGCAGTTGATCGAGCCCTCCAAGTCGCCAGCGCCTACAGAAACAGCGACATCACTGCCCAAGTCTAGCGGACTTCCCTCTGGCAAGGGCATGATTCTGAAGCCCGGTTCTGTCGAGAAGCCCACGTTCGTCGCGAAGCCGCCGGCGCCCGCGAGTCCTGCCAAATCTCCTTGGGCCAAACTTCCTCCCGTCGAAAAGTCGTCACCTGCCGCTGCTGAATCACCATTCACCCATCCTCCGAATCACCACCGTCTATCTACCAGGGATGGCCTACAGCCCAGTATATCACCTCCCCCGCCCGCGAGAGAAATCGCTGCCGACGACTTCAGCAGATCAGCATGGCGTGAGGGAGGCGCGGCCGGCAACCGCGAGCTGTACAACTCGCAGTCTGGCCGCTATGAGCCTGTAGGGGACCGAAGAGGCTCATTCCGCGCCGACCCGCATGCGCGACATCCGGCCGTGATGCAACGTCCTCACCATGACCATCCCGAGCCGTCAGCCGCGTTCCAGACCAGCCGCGCAGCCCAGGAGGGATCCTACGGACGCCGCCGTGGTAGCTCCAACGTCGGAAACGTTCCATATTCCCAGCGAATGCATGACCAGCCACCGAATGCCCGTAGACCCTCATTCGCCGTCTCCATTGACGGTCCTGTCTCGCCAGACTCGGCCCACCCGCCTACCGGTCATGCCGCAGCCCTGCCTCATGCTTCGCCCGCGCCCGCCCAGGCCGTTCCAGCTCAGCCTGCGGCCCCGCAGAGGTCGGTGGAGGAGGACCTTGAGATTCAGAAGAAGGTTATGCGTGAAAGACTCGAGCTCGCCAGGCAACGCCGAAGGGACGAAGAGGCTCGCGAAGAAGCCGAGAAGCAAAAGCGCATCAAAGCTCGACTCGACGCCATGGGCCCTGCCCCCGAACGCAAGAGCGCCAAGGAGGCTTCGAAGGAGGAAGGCGCGCATCCTGCCCATATGCAACAACGTCAAGGCTCTGGAGGCTCAGACCCCACAACCCACCCTAAGGAATCCGCAACAACCTCCAACACTTCTACCACTACTACAGCGACGACGCCTGGCACGGCTTTCAGTACCATCGACAAGTCTGCCGCCGATACGTCGCCCAAGGCTGTCGCTGAACAGCCAACCGCTATGAAGGCTTCCGTGCCCCCGCATCTGCGTGCAGCAGAGAACAAGTCTGCCGGCGACAACTTCGTCCCTCCTCAGCTCCGAGATAAATCGAATAACAGCAGCAACCCATCGTGGGGTTCCGCTGCGCCTTCTCAACCTGAACGCTTCAGTACCGCTACATGGGGACCTCCTCCAGCCCCGCAGGCTGCAGGAAGCGTTTGGGCTCCCAATACACGGGGGTCGGCAATGGCACGTTCAACGCTGCCGTCGGATCGCCCCCCGGTCTCTCAGCCTGGGGCAGCTTTCCCCCCTCG